GCAAAATTAAATCTTATCCATATAAATGGTATGTGATTGGTTACAAATAATCCCATATGATTAAGTACACAAGCATAACTATTGAATCGAGAATGGAAAAATGAATTTTGTCCACATAAATCATATGTAATTAGATACATATAATCACATGTGATTATATATATAATCATATGTGATTATATATATAATCACATATGATTTATATGTACAATATTCATTTTTTCATTCTCGATTCAACACATGTTCTCATATATTTACTCACATGTGATTATAGGTATTTAATCACACTTTAATATATGTATTTAATCATATGTGACTTATGTGCATAATATTTGATGTTACGTTCACTATTCAGTAGTTGCTCTTTTTCCACATTTGAAAATGAATATTGTCTACATATTTTCGATTCAATATTTATTCTCATGTATTAAATATACGATTAAATACATATAATCACATGTGATTATATATATCAAATAACATATGATTTATAAGATTCATTATTGCTTTCTCGATTCAATAATTCTTCTTTGTCAACATTAATTATATGTGATTAAATATATTTAATCACATGTGATTATATATATCTAATCATATATGATTTATATGGATGGTGGGTCATGACGGCATTGTGGCAACAGGTGGTGATGAGTTGTGGTAGGTTGTGATGGTGGGCGGTGAAGGGTGGTGGGTGATGGTAGTGGGTGGGTGGTGGTTTGAAGTGGTGTTGAAGGGTGGGTAATGACGTATGGTGGTGATGGATCGTGGTGGTGGCCTCTAGTGATGGTTTTTGTTAGTAAGTAGTGGGTAGTGATGGTGGAGGTAGTGGGTAGTGGGTGTCAGTGGTGGTAATAGGTAGTGGTGGTGGTGGTGGGTGGTGGAGGTGGGTGGTGATGGTGGGTTGTGGTGTTGGTGGTGGTTTTGCTAGATAATGAGTAGGGGTGGTAGTGGACATGGGTGGTGGTGATAAATGGTGGTGGTGGTGGTGGGTAGGGGTGGAGGTAGGGTTGGCGGTGCTTAGTGGTGGGGTTGGGGTGGGGGTGGCGGATTTGGGTTAATAAAATATGATCTTGGTCCTTTTCTTCCCTCCATGAAAGATTTATGATGATTTGGTTTGTGTATTAAGTTAGGGTTTTGGTGTTTGGACCCCTTCTAGTCATGGGAAGTCATAAATTTGGAAACTTTATGACTTAGATTGATATTTGGGACTAGATCTGAGCTTTGTACGTGGTATCTTATTGGAATAAGAACTTAAAGAAGGAAAATGAAACTGGACAAATATGTTGGGTGTAACAGGTGGTACGCTGAGCGTACTAGGTTGTAGCCCCGTAATCATTAAGGGATCAATTACACTAAGCATGGTGATTAAGTATGCTTAGTGTACTCAGTCTGTGTTGACCTCCTTTGACTTTTTGTCTCTTTAACTAGGAATGTGATCAAGTTTGACTTAGGGGGATTTTGGATAATTTGAGAAATAGGTTGAGACTAGGTCACTATTTGTTGTATAAATGGCCTGTAGAGTTGGTATTTGGAGCAACATTCATTTCTTTTATCTTTCCGACTGTGAGTTGAGTTTTCCTCACTGTACTCATGGGTCGAAGGCTCCAATGTCGACCCACTAGGTTATTTATCCTGGTATATAGGATATTGTTATGTTATAGTGATATGTTAGATCTACACGATTACTTGTTTGATGGTTATAAGTTATCTATTGCATATGTCGACATAGTGCGGTTGGGTTGAGGCAATATTGCTTCGTGAGGAAGCCAATAAACCTGGGATTAAGCCAATCACAAGTTGTAGGCTGGAATGGCAAGGCATACTAATGTTGTGGGCTCGGGAGCAATCCAAACATGAGTTGTGGGATAGGTTGGCAAACCAGACTCATGTTGTAGGTTCAAGGATAATATAGTCTGATGGTTATGAACCCAATATGCATGTTGTTATATGTTTTGTGGTGGTATTATGGGGGAACTTACTAAGCTTTGCCTTACAGTTTGATTGTTATGGTTTCAGGTAATCTAGATGATAGGGGAAAGGTGAAGGCTTGATCATACACATCATCATGGATTTTTATGAGATTATGATTTTGGGATATTCTAATTCATATTTATGACTTTTGGAAACTATGTTTTGTAAACACTTCTAGTTTTGGATTGGTTTCAAAAATGAAAATTTTTACCTTGATTTTTGGTATGTTACAAGTTGGTATTAGAGCCTTAGTTTGATTGAATTGCATGAGCATTCGTGTGAATCCAGACTCAAACTAAGGATATATATATATATATATATATATATATATATATATATATATATATATATATATATATAAGTTTTCAAAATTGTTTTCGAAGGTAACTAAAGAAGTATGAGATGTGTACGATCATCCGGAGAAAGAAAGTGTACCCCAAGATACCTACATTGTTATTTGATTATGATGATTATGGTAGAATTACAGTCTATTTTGTAGGCTAGGGATCCTCAAGAATTTCATGATAGAATTGCATGATGTATGATGTCTGATAGCTTATGAGAATCTCTTGTATACTAGATGGAATTGACATCATTACTGTAGTTGCTTAGTGTGTTTATCATAGTTGTATATAACAAAAATTATATAGCCTTAGAATGTTTGATTTAACCTTATTTCTTTTTCCTTTTTCTGGTTGTGGACTTAGGGTAGAATCAAGTATTTGTTTATAAATGGGATCCAATGTTACGTATGTTTAGCATGTACGATCGGCTACAGGGTTGGTGGAAGTTTCATAAGTTAGTACAGTTCATAGCGGGACAGTGTGAGGGATGATTAGCCACTCTTGAGAGAGTAGATATAAGATATATGTGTATCCTAGATGCTTGGGCCTAGTGGTATGGAATCACGTGTAAGGATCAGCCTGATTTTATGGTGTCTTAGTGCCAATCAGTTTCAGTGCTCGCATGCTAATTGCTTTGTGCTTTGTAGGACTCATACTGATGTGATTTAACTATTAAATGAATATGATACATTACATGATGAAAATGTTAAATAATTGTAGAATGATTGATTCGGCCCTATTTGGCAACTCTCATCTAAGTCTAACTATTGTGGGTTTAGGTCTTTTAGTCAAAAGATTATTTAAGTTTTGTTGTATGTAATTGTATGCATGAAGTGGTTAGTTGACATTAATAGGAGTTTTTCAGCAGCTGATGGCAGGGTGAGGTGAGGATCCTAGGAAAGCCTAGGAAGTGCTTTAGTGTGGATGGCACGCTGTTTAGCGGGTATTGAGAGTAATATCACGAGTAGCTACTTATAGAATCTGAAACGATTATTGAGGAAAGTATGGATAGGTGTGGAAGGTAGTATTGGGACCGTACTACTGAAAACACAACATCCGTAGTCGAATCGAGGAGAATTTCGGGGATTCTAAGGAGCTGAATGAGGGTAGATTGTATAGTTTAGTACCATGATTCATTGCAATGTGATTCTGTCTTATTCAGTTTATCGGATATGGTTGTTCTGACTAAGGATAGGTCTGGTAATTGCTTGGGTCATAGTGTCCATGTTAGACCGAGTTTAAATGGTGTAGACCTAGGCGAGATAGTTGATTATAAGGTTTTGAGGGCCTTACTCTAGGTAGCACCGATTGAGTTATGAAAAGGAAGTGATTGTGATGATCAGCTTGAGGATTGCAGTCAGAATATCACACCTTCCCCAACTGTTGGCGGGAATGCCGAGTGGTGAAATTTTTTGCATAGATTACCCAAATCATAGAGCACAAACCATAACTATCTATTAACCGAAACTCATCTATCTTTGAGTTGATAGTCCTTCCTTATCTTCATCCTTACTCCATCCTAGGAACACATGCAATTTTTGGAAATGTCAACTTGACATTGGTGAGTTCACATGTTTTAAGATAAACATATGATAATCTTTTTTTGAAAACATTTTAGAAAATTTTACAATGATTATATTCATTTTTCTTCAATTCCTGGTTTCTTATGCTTTATTATATTATCTCTTATCTTATTACATTTTTAGGACATTCTGCTAATCCTCTCTTATTATCTTTATATGATGCTTTACCAGTCCTAACTTACTATCATTGTAGGATTTTTACCGATCCCATCTTATTATATTTTAGGATATTTTACTAATCCTAATTTAATATCTTTATAGGATATTAACCAATCCAATCTCACTATATTTTAGGATATTTTACTAATCCTAACGTATTTTATCTACCACTCTAAGGCGTCCCTCTTGGTAATGAGATCTCTAAGGTGGTTGTAATGTATTACCATGATCACCCATAATCAATGTTGTTATTTCTAATGTCATAACTAATTGTTATAACTTTGGAAATAACACTACTGATATATGCCTTTAGTAACATGCAATTTACGACACACATTGATTTATGTTACGCAAAAGAGAGTGTCCGTAAAATAGTGTCATATTTCCAAAAATTTTAAGGATTTACATCACGTATTATTGCGAGTCCTTAATTTAGTGCCTCAAGAAAAAAATTAAAAACACAGAGGGCGCTTTATCTTAAACCGCGTCGTCTATACCTGTCGCTTTATAATTTATTGAGACGCACATTTAGTAGATAAGGCAGGAAACGAAATCCCCAAAATTTTGAAAACCCGCATTGTTCTTTCTACCTTCTATCTATCTTTCATCTTTGCAATCGACTCTCCCCTCCATGATACTCTCTCCTCTAGATCTCCCTTCATTCTCTACCTCCTGTCTCTCTGTAAACCCTAAGCCATTGCCACCTCCCTTCTCTCTAGCACGTGCTAGGGTTTTATTTTATTCCAAGCTTCCGCTTCTCACTTTTTATCTTAGCCCAGTACGTGCGAGGGTTATAAAATAAAGAAAAACCCTAATGCTCCACGAAGACTCATTTCTAAAAAATATTATGTAAAGCATGGAGATTGAGTCTGAAATCATCAAGAGGAGAGCAACAAGATAAAACGAAGGTTAATCATAATTGATCTGCGAGGTCTCCTCATCAATGGCATCGACCAAATCTAAAACCTTGAATTCAAAAAATTATTCGGAGAACTTAGGTGTTAACACAAAAGGTCCCAGGTGAATCGTAATTGATTTGTAAGTATTTTGGTTCATTGTTGTTTATTCTCAAAGTGTTGGTTGTGGGGGTAAATTTGTCATATTCACATCTAGTAGGGAAGCTAATCGCAAATGGGTCGGGGGGGGGGGGGGGGGGTCAAAAACAAAAGGTCCCATGCTGGCTCTAATGAAGAGGAGGGAACCTGAGACCCGAATGTTGTAAGGAATTGGAAGAAACGAAAAGAAGAAGAAATAATTTGTAAAATATGTGGAGAATCTAAAGCTAAGGTCTGGGAGGCAAAATCTAAAGCTACTGAAAGGAATTGGAAGAAACGAAAAGAAGAAGAAATAATTTGTAAAATATGTGGAGAATTCGACCACTCTACTCAGGTATTCAAATCTCATGATTCTATCATTATCATCATCTTATAGAATGGTTGTTCTTAGTTCTTTAAGATTTTTAAATACATGAAGACTGTGTTAGGCTCAACTATTTGATTCACAACAAATTCAACAACTAATATCTCAATATGTGATTTCATAGTAAGCTTCAGAGTGAAGCCCTAAGAGAAGCCATTACTCAAATCACCACAGATGCAAAAGAGAAGAAGCATAATTTCACTAAAACCATTGAACTCCAAATTAGACTCAAGAACTACGACCCAAAAAAGGACAAACGTTTTAGTGGAACAGCCAAATTGCCTCACATTCCTAGGCCTAAATTGAAAGTTTGCATGCTTGGAGATGCCCAACATGTTGAAGAGGTAATAAGCTTTCTCATTATCATAAAACAATACTAAAAGTCACTAAAAGATTCATCTCTGTAAAATTTCATCTAACATGTTCTTGAATAATTATAATAAGCTCAAAAGATTGGGCTTGGAAGCATATCCAACTTGTTGACCTATATAACCCTTTTATTGAATAGCTATAACCCTTTTTTCCCATTTAACATATCTTCGTAGATGATAAGGTTTGGTCAGAATGGAATTATGTAATCGGGTTTGTAATTGGCTGCTGAATATGGTTTGAATGCAATCATGTGAACATGGGTGGAATGGCCAGAAAGGAATAGGGTGGAATGGCTGGTACAAGTGACATCAACCTCCATTTTCAACCAAGGTTACTTTTAATGAGGAGGAGTTTTGTTGTTCTTGTAACTATGACTTTATCTACATCAATAACTGCAAGAGCATGTTCTATTCCCATGGTTGCTTATCAGATCTATTTAGAAGTTTGCTTGGCTCTTTATTTTCTTACTGATGCTTTAGCACTTACAAGACAGGTAACCTTAAAAATTAACCTAGTATAAGGTTAAGGTTTTTGTTCTATATTGTCCTGTAGTTGTCTGATTATGTTGTTTTGTGGGCAACTCTTGCAAGTAGTTATTCACAAAAGAACTATAGTGAAACACGCAGGGTAATAGACAGAGGTCTTAAGGTTAATGATATATTATTATTATTATTATTATTATTATTATTATTATTATTATTATTATTATTATTATTATTATTATTAGCTTTTTAAGTTAACTTACAAAAATTATATTGCTAATAAAATAATCCAAATTTTTGGTTTTTGATTAGATTGGATTAAGCTTGGCTTTTATGTTGTTCTAAGGGTTTGGACAACTATCTTCCTTATTTACCACAGATTCACATGTTCTAAATATTGCAAGATCTAGTACTTTGGTAAGAAACTTATTTTATAATTATTTTTATATTCAAGGACCTTTTAGTAATTTTGCTTTCATTAAAAAAATTATAATGTAGTTTGTAGTTGTATCTCAACAGATGCATTTATTCTTGATGGGCTATATTATGGAGTTTTGGATTCCATGGTGTGTTTTCTATTTATATACAATTATCCGAAACCTTTTTTTTTGTATTAAAAAAAACAGATTTTTATTTGGGTGTTTAATGTATAATTTGAAGGTGGTGATTTGATTAGGAACTTGTTTGTTCTTTCTTTTTGTTGTTCCTTAATTTGGTCTTCCTAGAGTTTGGACATGATTGTTTTTATTTATGACATTGTGTGTAGTGGCTGGAATATTGAGGTAATAATAGTTTTGACATTTTATTAATCATTAAAAAATAAAAATATTCAATTATTTTTATTTGATGGTGTTCCTATTTCAAAAAAAAATCAGAGATCAACCCAGAACCTATGGCTGCAACATCTTTAGGCCAAGTGTATAAAGGTTATTAGATATTAAAATTGTTTTCAAGTTGGGTCTCTCTCTTTTTTACTTATTTATATTTTATGATGATTTTTGATTTTTGGTCATGTACTTTATTAAAAATGTTAGTATCTGTTTCATTTTGGCTTAATGGACTTAATGACTCAATCAAAATCCTCTTACAATCTAGAAAAGGAACAAGCTTTATCCATATAGACATCATTATTTACCTATGATAAGGGGAAAAAAGGAGCAAGGGCATACTTAGTTTTCAGTTTTGACCTTGTCTCTTTTTACTAAATTATAGGTGGTTCCACTGTTGACGAAAGTTATTGGATGGCTAGGAGGAAGTATACTAGCCCTTGAGACACTAAAACGTGTGGTGGTTGCTGGAAATAGGGCATAGGATGCACTTGTTGCACAAGGTCTTAGGTCAGTAATCATGTCGTGTTTCTAAAATCCAATCGTCGCCATCGATCCAAGTTGACCTCGATCTAGATCAAGGTCACCAAGGGCTGTTAGTTTTATAGGAATGTATAACCATGTTAGCAATGTCTTATTTTTGTTTAACATTTGATGATTATTTGTATGAAATATTATAATTTGTGCAATTTATTTTATTTTTTAGGTATGAAATTTTATTTTATATTACGAGACATTAAATGTGTGATGTAATTTGAAAATTAGTAAACTTACAAAAAATATATATTTTTTAGATCATTTAAAATTTAAGACATGCAAAAATGTTTGTCGTCTTTCTTTATAACACGAGCTTTAATGATACGCAATGCAAGTCATAAATGTGCATCGTTTTACGACATGCGAATGCGTGTCATCTTCTTTATGATAGGGCCTTTCTTGACACACATTACGCGTCGTAGACACGCGTCGTAAATGCACATCGTAAGGTTAGGACACACAAATGCACATCGTCTTCCTTTATGACAGGGCCTTTCTTGACACACATTTGCATGTCGTCTGAGCGTTTTACGACACACATTATGCGTCGTAGAAGGTTGTTCTTCTAGTAGTGTAATAACCAAGTCCTTTTAGTCCTACCCTCAAGAGCTAAAGTAGCTAGAATATAATTAATAGAGTAAGGAAAATAGTTTATTAATTTATTACATGTTAATAAATTAATTAGAAACTAGTTAAATAAATATGGAATTACTTAGAATTAATCTAGATTTAATTAAAAGTACAGAGACTAAATTTTAATTGGTTAATAGTTGAACAAAAGAAACATTATGGATCCCCATGGAGGGTGGATGGTTTTGGGGAGGTCTTGGAGCCTTCCAGAATCAATCTATGTAACAGATAAGGAAAGTATTTGAACCATGATTAAATCTAATTACTTAGTTAATTCAAATCATAGTTTATCTACAAGTTACCACAGCTATATAAAGACCCTATGACCTTTAGAAAAATCAATGGAACCTCTCATCAGGTTGAGAATTTCGGATCTCACCAGCCTCTCTCCACTCTCCTTAATATTCTAGAGTTTTAAACTATTGGGTGTAAGCCATTAGAGGCATCCTACTTTGGGTGCTAGTCCTTCCAAGTAATTGCAAGGAATTCAAGATTTACAAAGGATTCAAAAGTATATATGATTATACTTGAAAGATTCGTAATTCCATTCTATTTGATAGTTTAAATTCATAGTTTTGAAAGTATGTTGCTATAATAGTAAAACCTAGATGGGTGCATGTACACTTAGGATTATATTTAAATGCTTTCGTTGCCTAAATCTAATGTAAAGATGCATAGTAAACCCAAGAGTTGGAACCATCAAAACTACTCAAGGGAGGTTGGAAACCAATACCCCAATCATTAAACCCCACCAAATTCAATATTGGGGTTTTACCCGCTTCACAAAATTGATTTGCATATTAGAAAGAGAAGAACTTATACCTTGTAATCCTTTGTTCTTTCCTCTATTCTTAGATATTTAAATCTTTACTTGAACAAAAACCTAGAAACCCATGAAATGCAAATCGTCATTTTAAAAGATGGTATGTAGCTCAATCACGATTTTCTCCATAAGAGGAGAATAAATGATTCTTTATTTTCCCAAGATTTACACATTTGGTCCTTTTACTTTACATATTTTGTCAAATTTACCATTACTTCATTTATTTTCACATTTTCCTAAAATGTTTTCATAACAAGTCATCATCATCCATTATATAACTTTGGTAGTCCCTTCCATTAACTGATCTACAATTTGGCCAACTCACTTTGGCAACTTGACACTTTGGCCCTTTAATTTTTAAATTGCTATTATTTTCATTTCTAAATTTCTAAACTTCATATCAACTAATGATATGATTATTCATTAATGATTTCATTATATGAATCATCTTTCATTTATTTACTTTATTAATTTAAGAACATAGTCTTATATTTTAGATGTTACACTTTCCGATAATTAGAGACTTTTTTAGACACCTTCTTCTTCCAACATTAATGACATATATTAACACAACTAAAGAATACACGAATTAAAACATGGAACTTTTAAATACTGGAATCCAAAAAACGAAGAACTTGTTTAAAAATGCTACAATTAAGGTTATTTGACTGAAGAATGACTTTTTTTTTATGTAAACACCATGAAAAGGAACAAATAAATAATATATGAAATTATTTTTAGTAGAAATGTTAGTGTAACGACCGAAAAATCCAACCAATTTAAATTTTTCAAAAACAACTCGATTTCATTAAATTATTACAAAAAGGTTTTCAATACAAATCATTTAGAGTATTCGCAGAATCTCATTGCTACAAAATCATGAGGAGCGGTACGATCACGCCTTCGCCTTGCCACAGTCTCTTGAAGAACCTGAAAAACATTAAACCACAACTGTAAGCCCGAAAGCTTAGTGAGATGCCCCCAAAATACCAACCACATATACCATACACATAACATGCTATCTCATAACGAATCACAGAACAACCATGCATATCGGGTCTACTGTGGGACTGGTCCGCCTTGTAGGGCCTTCAGTCCACCTGGTCCACCCTCCGTGTCCAATCATGTCCCTCGGGTCTACAGTGTGGTTGGTCCGCCCGCACTGGGCCTTCAACTCACCTGGTCCACTCTCTGAGTTCAATAATGTCCTTCGAGTCTGCAGTGTAGTTGGTCCGCCCGCACTTGGCCTTCAACCCACCTGGTCCACTCTCTGAGTCTACAGTATGACTGGTCCGCCCGCGCCCGGGCCTTCAGTCGGTCTGGTCCACTCTCCGAGCCTCGGCACGTCTGGTCCGCCCTGGGTTTCTTGGCCTACAGCACGAAGTAGGACCCGCCTCAACCCAACTCCAGTCCAAACAACCATGTGCACATAAACATACAATCACATAACAATTCATATTCAGGCAAACCAATCTAGCAGATCACATAACACAACATACTTTAACAGGATACCGACCTAACCGGTCACTAGCATAGCCTCACCCTACATACCAGGATACCGACCTTAACCAGGTCTCTAACGAATACCATCCTAACTACCAGGATGCAAACATATCAAAGCAATAACATAACAACAGATACCCGAATCTCAATCCGATAAAAGGGCCGGCCTTGGTGCCTTAGAACCTGTTAATATAGTGAGGATAACTCACCTCGAAACCACCGGCTGAAAGGATAAGATCCCGCTGCTCAGAACTCCAACACGAACTCCTCCACTGAACACCAAAACACTCAACTCAATATATACCCTTAATTACCAAAATACTCCTGGAAGACAACTGGTCAACCTTGGACAAAGTTAAAGTCAAACCCTGACTGACTCTACTCGCCGAGTCAACCCGATGACTCGCCGAGTCCCTACGCTCAGAATTTCCCTCAATTCGCGACCCAACTCGCCGAGTCATCCCTTGAATCACCGATTCTCGACTCAACTAGAAAATATTGGGACTCTTCGACAAGACTCGCCGAGTCCAAGAACAGACTCACCGAGTCTAAGGCTATCTTCAACCTACTCGCCGAGTTGTTCATCCAACTCGTCGAGTTCTAGCTCATCTTCAAGCAACTCGTTGAGTCCACCCATGTGACTCACTGAGTACCACCGGTTTGAATCCATACAGAAGCATTCCAGGCCATGCAATTGATCCAAAACATAGATCTAGCCTCCTACAATCCATCCATCATGTAAAGTGGCAAACTTTACATGAATCCAAAGAGATCTAGCCCTTATTCACTTTAGAGCTAGGGTTTGGGACATGATGGCTTCACTAAGCAATCAAACACAGGGACTTTAATGCTCTCTAGGCCTTCCCCATCCCAAATCTGAGGTAGCAACCTTAGATCTAACCTCCAAACTCTAAAACATACAAAGTTATAAACCCCAAAATGATGAATCCACATGAGTGATAGCCCAAGAACGAGACATTACCTCAAAAGAACGCCCCAACTGCAATGAAACTCGAATTCAAGCAAAGCCCTTTGATCCAAGCCTCTTCTTCTTCAAGATTTCTTCAACAAACACCTCCCCAAGCTCCAAATGCACTCCAATCTTCCACAATCACGCTTTCTAGGGTTTCTGGACTTCAAGGGGGATCAAAGAGGCTGGGGAAAGGATATAATGTTCTTTAAATAGGGCTCATTCCCCGAATTTAGGGTTTTCTCCACTCAGCACCTACTCGCCGAGTCCATCTTTGGACTCGCCGAGTACGCCACTTGACTCGCGACTAAAGTTGTGACCCTACTCGCTGAGTCCATCCATGGACTCGCCGAGTTGCCCTTCAAAATCTACACTTTTAGTCCTTCAACTCTACTCTTGCTATTCCGGGATGTTACAGTTAGAAGGTGTGACATTTCAAACTCCGAAATATTAACAACATTTTTGAAAATGCCACATTTATAATATTACAAAAACTAAACAAAATCACCTAAACCAATGTACATTCCAACATAAGGGCATGAACGGTGGGATTTTGGTGAAAATCCGATGATACTAAAGAACTACAAAGGAAACATAGTACAAGAGATATTTAAAGTGTAACTAGATAAGTGCCCCCGCTTTGCGGGGGTTGGAAGCCTTCGACTTAAGCTTGTTTGAGCCACAAAACAAAAGCCCAGGGTCTTTGGGGGACATTCTTTACCTTAAATATAAAGGAAAACTAAAAAACATTTTCTACTTTTAAGAAATCCTTAATAGAACAAAACCCAAAAAAATCAAGCATTTCATATTTGGATTGAAAATATAAAGGGAAAAGACATTTTGTTCTTCAAAGAAAACCATTACATTAAGATAAATACCAAGGGAGTTAAATCACCATGGGGCATTCTTTGTTCACAACAATTTATGGACTTGCAAAACAGAAATAAATCATCAAGCAATATTATTACAATAATTATGGAGTTTTGGTCTACATATCAGACTTGAAAAGTTAAAAAAAAAAATACAAAAATTACAGAATTGTATAACAATAATTTCATTTTCCCATATAATAAAGCATATCCAACAATTTAAAAGTGTAAATTATGCATTCTCAACAACAAATACAGAAAACATAGAAATGTAAATCAATTTTATTAATGAAAAGGGTATTGGTTCAAAAGGGGCTAGAATCAAACCTTGTTCATGGCCACCAGAAGTAGTTAAAGTAAAGAAAAGTTTATTTTATCAACGAAACATCATCATCTAGGCCCCGTGTTCTTTGTAGATATAACGAATTCAATATGGGCATACTATTTTTTAAATAATGATAACTAATGCATACCCTCTAGAGTGGATCTTCTCTAATATGCAAATGGCTTGAATAGAAATTCATGCAACCATTTCAATGAAAACCCTATCGATGAGAAGTAATAAAACATCAGAATACCATATCTTTTTATGACTAATAAACTTAAAACCAAAAACAATTGAATAAAAAATATAAAAAAATAATTTAATGATATTGCATGCCTTACTTTGGTCTTAAATAACACTGGATAATCAAGCCTGCCTTATATGTATAAAGATAATTCATTCCCCTATCAATGAAGAAGCAAAAAGTACGAAATAAGAAATACATCATGTCTATATCATTATCATATGAATATGAATCCTTCAAAATCAGACATTTTATCTGTTTCACAAGCTTATTTATTAATTTTCTTTCCTTTGAGTCACTTCATCTACCATAGAACATCTTGAACTTCCACGAAACTAAACTCCCAATGACATCAGACAGAAAAAACACGAAAAATGAAAAAAATATCTGGAAATTGATAACGAAAATCACTAAATAAAAAAATTAAATAACCCCGCGCTTGTGGATTGTTTTATTATGAACCATATCCTTCTTTCGTTTCGGTACTCCAAAATTGGCTCCATGCAACAGAAGTTGCTGATAAAATATTTCATGTTGTTGTTCTTCTAATCTAAATTGTTCTAATCTAATCAGTTTTTTCATTGTGTTGTGTTCGTATATTTTGTTATAGTGGGTGAAATATGCGAAAGAGGTGTGAATGAAAATGCGAAAGTTTTTACTGTATAAATGCGAATTGGGGAAGAAAGCTAATAGTTTCGCATTTGGTCCCTGATCTTTTCATGAAATAATACAAATGATCGATCGCAAAATGGGGTTATAAAATGACAAAAATGCAAAATTTTCATTTCGCATCCCTGCAGTCTTTGCAAGATGGAAAATTTTACCCAGTTTCGCATTTGGGGTAAAATTTTTGAGAAATTGGAATATTTTCAAATCCGGTCCATGTAGTTTGTGCGAATTTACACATTCTACCCAGTTTCGCAAATGGGAGTGTGTTTCGCATATTTGGTTGTTTTTGGCGCAACGGGTCACTGAAGAATTTTGAAATTGACAATTTCTACCCATTTTTGAGAAATTTTGTCAAAGGCAATCTATGAACGACAATAAAAACTGAATATTTTTTGGTTTTTCCGGATTGAAGCACAAAGTTATGCCATATGTTAAAGGGGAGTTTTAACATGAAAAATTCCGAATAAAGCACGTTCTTTTTCCTTGGAGTTTTATAATCAAATTTCGATTATAAAAAAGGGGGAGAAGTTTTATACGAAAATTCGAACTTGAATTTTTCATATTACGCGGATTTGAAGACCAAAGTGATCTTGGAGTTTTGAAGCTACGAGATGATGCAATTGGATGTGCGGAAGTGATGTATTCGAAATGGGTTTGGTTTATTAAAGATTTTTAGGGTGTGTTTTTATGCGCAACTTTGGGTATTTATTTGGAGTTTGGAATAATCTTGATCATTCGTTGCTGCTCGGATTGTATGGTCTCACATCCTAGAGCCCAAATTGAAGAATCATAGAAGAATTGAAGATTGAAGTTTGTTTCGATATGTGTCACCTTTGAGCCTTAAACCGCGTAGTGCTTGATTTTGGAAGATTTGAAGTGGGTCATTCATTCCTAACTTTGAGGGGGAGAATGTTGGGGTTGCAAAGTTATTCATTCATGACTTTGTAAATGTTTGACTTTTGTAAAACCCACTTGCATGTGGTGCTTTAGCCTTTAGACCCATTTGTTAGTTAGAGTGAGAGAGAGAGAGAGAGAGACATGTAAACACCTCTATAAATAGTGGGTTTGTCCACTTGTAGAGGTGTGCTTGAGAGATGTAGAAGTGAGTGTGTAAGTGTGTGTTAATTATGTAGTCCAGATCTAGATCCTTTTTGTAATACCATATACATTCAATATATCTCTTAAACACCCAAATCACCATATTCAATTGTGCAAGCTTTAATTCCGCATGCTAAACCATGTTCTTTGTCACTACACTATTACGTAAAAAAATTTCATAAATGTAATCGATGAATAGTTTACAACCTGGAACAGGTAACTGAAAAATAAATATAGGTTCAACTATTAAGCAATGAACATAGAAACGCAAATCTTCAGTGTGACATTTTTTCAAACACGTTGTGTGCAGTAAGAAAATACTAATCGGGAAAGAGGGAATAAAAATCAGATAACGGATAACAAATTTGCAAGAAAATTTACCTTCTTTCAGCGTAGAAATCACCTGTACACTAATAAAATACAGAAACTGGGTATTAGAATTTGCAGTTCCATGTTTCAGAGAAGGAAAATGTAGGAAAGTAACCTTAGTATGACACTTTTTTGGTGGTAATATGAAGACCATTGTTCCCTTTGTTATCTTATAAACTCAAAATAGTAGGATGGAAACCTTAAAAAAAAAAGTAACGTCTCATGATGAAAAATCAAATGAAGCAATAACTTAAATGGCAACATCACTCCTAACCTCTCCATATCTTACATTTTTCTTCTTGCCCTAATCTCAACCGAAACAGTGATGAAGCCTGATGGGGTTAACCATGTAGATAATTTTGAAACTTACCTAATCACAGGCAAATAGCAAGTGGTGAGGCATGGTAGCAAACCTTGTCCGGGAGATTCATTTCGTTGGTTGTGGCAGTCTAAAAAGCTGAACGATTGGTGGTAGTGGTGGAGGTACAACTGGCAAACGGGGAAGGCTTTAGAAGTCGGTGAATTCCCTAATGGTCATCGACAAAAGCGTAAAGGTAGAGATGTGGGTTTAATATGAAAGGGGATTTAGGGTTTTGTATGATGTACACATTACCGGTAGAGTGGGTGGCGGTAACCGAATCCATATAGAAACCGAAGAAGGAAGCACACATTTGGTCGATGTTGAAGCCAACCAGGCATGGGGCGGGGCGATCGTCGGCCTCGCCTCTGCCAGTGGGTACTCCGAAATGCGACGCAGCGGAAGTAAAAGGAAGCAAAAAGGGAGAAGTCCATTGAGACATGTATGGCGGTGGAGCTGTGTAAGGCTTTTATTGGAAAAGAAAATGGTGGAGAATCAGAAGCGGACACGTATATGTAAACGTACTTAATCAAGGGGTGCGGAGGCAAAACAAACCCACCAACAATATAAGTAATGACATAAAATGACCCAATGAAAAATTTAGACATAGTTGAACCGACACAAAGGACCATTTTTGCCAAATATGTAAGAATTTTACTGTAGCTAAGGTAAGACAATTTTAATATATATATATATATATATATATATATATATAATATATATATATTATATATATATATATATATATATATATATATATATATATATATATATATATATGAAAATGACTACATTTTATATATCTCCATTCTCCAAAATCCGAGATGGCCACCTTTCGGACTAGGTGGACACTTTTCGGACTAGGTGGACACTTTCAAATACCTATATTCTAAAAAACATATGTTATTTTTGTGAATATTCCTTAATGGAAAAATAAAATAAAAATAAAGGTGAAGTGAGGTTATTGGAAATAATAAGTGAAAACACAATATCATAGTAATATAAAAAGCAAAAGAGAATCCTACAACTAGAAAAGAACTGTGGGCGGGAGGGCGGGAGCAACCGCTTTTCTGGCTTTCTGTTACTTATCAACAATAGGTAATGTTATTCTCTCTGAAACTAAATAACACGATATGTTACTTTCGAACAAATATCGGTATCAACCGCTTTTTAATTAGATTATCTTTGTCAAACGAAATGGTGGACCAAAATGCGCATAAAAATCTATAGAAAAAACGTAGCCTAATCAATAAAGATGACTACCTTAATTTGTGAGTAATTAGGTAATTTCTGCTTTATCAAAAGGAATCATAGAGTTTCTAGATGACTAGAAGACAAGTTGTTATTATTATATAAGTGGAAGAACACAAACGGAAAGAATTCATCATAGCGAAGGAAAACTAACATGGGTGTTCAAGAGCTGATGCTATTAGCCATGCTTCTTTTCTCCTTCTGCTCTCCAGCATCGTTTTCTCCAGGTATATATATGCAATAACTCTCTCTCTCTCTCTCTCTCTCTCTCTCTCTCTCTCTCTCTCTCTCTCTCTCTCTTCTCTCTCTCCTCTCTCTCTCTCTCTCTCTCTCTCTCTCTCTCTCTCTCTCACACACACACACACACAAATGACACAATGACTGACAAAAGCAGCCTGCAGTCTAACTCAATGGCGTGTCGTTATTTTTGTAGTAAATATACATGAAAACATGAGAGATCATAAGCCAATAGATAAAAACGATTCTATTATTGGTGGTGGAGGTGGCAGTAGAATGGTAAACGAAAGCAAGTATACAACTACTGTGAGAGCAGCTCGAGGTGGCGGAAGGGCGGGAGCGGGAGGAAGTGGTGGTGCGCTCATACCTGTATATGCTGGCGGAACAGCTGGTCAAAACAGAATTCACAAAGGTGCTGCACCATGCAGGGAAGGGGGATTTCCAGTTCTCATAGCCACGTCAGCATATCTTTTATTGCATATATGCAGGAACTGATTGTATAACATCAAGTCGCCTTTGACTCAATGACATAGGTGTATTCGATAAGATATATAAGATTAGAACTCATGACCTCTAGAGTCTTGGGTATATTGAAGTGGATCTTTTATGATTCATATGATACCAAATAACATTGTATTTCTACCCAAAAAAAAAAGTTTTTAACGTAATTTGT